ATGGTGTATCACCAGCTATACAAGCCTTACTTCCTCACCTGTTTTACCAGGATACATTATACTGTTGTTATGACAGCGGAAGTCACGTGACTCTGGTAACACGTAATGAGTTCTAGAAAGATCGGGGAACATCACGAATAATCCAGTATTTGTTAGGCGCCCTCTATTCTTGTATATAATTGCGCCAGATAAAGCGAGACAATCAATCGGAATAGAACTGCAGACAGACAGACACAATTGAGTCAAGCGCGGTAGTAAGTAAGTGTGTGTGAATCGTTCGTTGTGAATTATAGCGTGTGTTTAAGTTAAACTGATTGTGGAAATTAAGTGTATTGCAAAATTGTATTGAGAAAGAATAAACTAGTTTTATTTAAGAAAGGACTTGTATCGCTAAAGTTTCATCCCAAAGAAATTATACGGGAAATTAACAAACGACCAGAGACGTAACACTATTATAGCATTGTCATTTGTATGTTAGTTTTATTTGTCTCTAAGTTAACTGTTTTTGTGTTAGACTAGTTCTTTGAAATTTTAATGAATAATCCAAGATAAGACGATGCTATTAAATTACATCTAATATTAAAATCAACGGAAATGTTGTTCTTTCTTATCTTTAGGTCGATGGATAACAAAATAAGGTATTATTATTTCGAAAACAATGATCCGTATTAGCCCAATTCGCTTAGAAACAGGAATAGTAGGCTTAGCTGATACTCTACAACCGGCTAACTGCCTGCTTAACCTCTTCCCCAACTTCATTTCTTTCTATACAAGACTCATGTTGGCTACTCACCACTGGATCTTACAAAAACGTGAGAGTTGCAGCTACTAAGAGGTAAGTTTTAGCTATTGTAGAAGCAGTGCCACCCCCTCCCGACCTTGGCCTCAGTTCAGCCGTTCCCACGCCAGCCTGACGCTGAAGCTCTAAGGTGTAAGGTCCTACCTGTAGGAAATAGGGCCAAAAAGTGTGTCAGACAGGTCGTTATCGTACATTCCTATCTTTCCCCAGCATGGTGTGGTAAAGTCAGAAAATCTAATCTGAAAATACGTCATTTTACCTAAAACCATTTTAATTTTATTTCATAAGTTGATCGAAAATAACAGCGTACAAAACAGCATGTAAAACAACAAGAAAACACTAATATCAGTGATCAACTAGTTTAGAAAATGAAACTTTAACTTTGTAATTGTAGAGCTGTTATATTTTTTTATGCAAGCGAACAATACGATCACAATATTTTGGTTTACAATCATAGAATGTAGAGGAAATATGTTAAGTTTTTTTTCCCTTTAGATGTTGCTGTTTTTTACTACAAAGCCATCTACGCTCTGTTCTCCGTGGGAAATCGAATAAGTCCGTAGACTTTTCGCTGACCCACCGGAGGACCTCTTTAAGTATAAACCCATTTCGGACCCACGAGCCTTGGACTCAAGTCTCGTGGCTTGTGACAAAATTATTCCCCTTGCTGCTCGCTCACCGCCACTGTGATACGCTTGGATGCTCAGCTATGACTCGAGGCAGAGTTTAGAGTTCTGCT